ACAGGAGGACAGGGAAGGCCGTCGGAAACCAAAACACCCACAAGAGACAGTGGTGGCCTTACAGCCCAATTCATACAATGAATTTATGAAAGCGATGATACAATGAATAAATTCATTGGTGAAAGTAACGAGTTGGTGATACAATGAATTATGTATCACCGAATTATAAGATCCAATTATTTTATTTTATTTTGTTTGAATTTATGAAGGTGGAGAAAATAACGAGTTGGTGATACAATGAATTATGACTCACCGACATATGAGATCCATTAACTTGACATCATGTCTTTAAAACAGACATGACGTCGTACACAGAAGTTATGCTTACAATTAAGAATTAACCAAGCAGATAAAACTAAGGCAGGTTAATTAGGACTCAAAACCAGCCAATGAACAAACAGACCCTAGAAAACCTTCTGCCTAAATACAAAGAAAGATATCATTTATTAAAAACATTTCTGTTTTGGGGATGCATCTATACTTCTACTTAAGGAAGCAACTACCAGACATAAAAAATCAGCAGATCTTTTGTGTATCTTGAACGTATCAGCCCTCCCTAAGATAGATTTTCTCTCCATATCATCATATCTTACCAGATGAGCTTGACCACAGAAATCAGACTGACAGACTGTAAAGCTTTTTCCCTGGTAGAGAGCGAAGCCACCTTTTACAAAAAAAAAATTTCCAAGCAGCTCTTCGAAACCATGGCCTCCAGAACTCTCGAACATGGCTTTTATTATCACAGAAAATACTGTCAAATTATTTGACATGATCCCTCCAGATTCCGCATATTTTTTGACAAGACACAGGCCTCCATAAACCATAGCCTTTACAGCTGGTAAAGCTTTTAAAGGAGCGTTTTAGAATATCCCATGTTTAAGGCACCTCATAAATAAGCTTCCATCAACATGGGATTTTCAGCGCAAGAGTACCTCTCATTCTTCCACATGTATCTGCACTGCACCAAGAACATATAGCTCTCACTTTTTTTTCCAAGGGATCCAAATGATTGAAATCTTTAAGATCAAGATCGAACCCTTTAAGCATCTTCCTGTTTTGAGCCCCTTCTAGTTGCCTTGATATAGCTGGCAGCCAATACCATTTCCAACCTCTATAACTTAATATGATTTGACATCTCACGTAATCAATTGGTCGCCCGTTGATTGCGTGAATAATTTATATCTTATGCATAATTATTTGTTAGTATAAAATGCGATCTAACTTGCAGTCTATTGGTTCATGGATGGAACCAAAACCCTAAATCCACGACTTCTATATATGTTCTGTGCGGACTCTTGATAGTTGACTCATCTATTTTGATGGCCTAAATTCAGAGGCTTACAAATTGTAATATCCATTAGTTTGTCCAGTTAAAACACTAATTAGTAAGTTTTTGAGCAATATAATTATATAATGGTGCCTAATTCACAAATATCAAGACAGTCATGACATACTTCTCTTTTCAATATTAGATTATATTGAAATTTGATTCACCTCTTCTTTATTTATATAAGAGCAGCTCCAGCGCTGCTATCAAACTGGGCAAAAGGCCCGCCTAGCAAGCCCAATGTGGCTCCAGCGCAGCACCTGCAGCTCGGGCAAGCCCTGGGTCCAACCAGCCCGGGCAAGCCCAAGGGCAGATCTTGACTGGGCTGTTGCCCTCGGGCTGCTGATGTCAGCAGTTGATTTTTTTATTTATTTATTATTTTTTACTGTTGGACCCACCAGCCCACATTGCCCAATGGTTACAAGCCATATGGCTTCTCCTAGAGCCTCCGATAAAAAAATCTTGCACAATCCACAGTTACAAAAATTATTCACTTTCCACACCAATTTAATTTCAAAATTTTATCCGAAAATGTTATCTTGATTTTTAGGTGAGGACTTTACGATAAATATTAACACTTGGGAATTGAAAATCTTATCCGAAAAATTTATAAAAATCAATGGTTTAAGTATAAAAGATAAAAAATAAATTTAAGTGAATAGTAATTGCCTTAGACTTGTTCTAGACTTAGCCATTATAAGTGGAACCACAAATGACAAGGCTGATACTATTTACGTAAATAGTTGCAGCCCTTACTTGCCCTTACCCTAAATTTAGTCCTTATGAGTAGAGATGCTCTAAAAGAAAAGGACTCAGACAACGACCCCCATCCAATAACATCCCACACATTACTTCTTCTTTTTTATTATTTTTTAAAATGAGAGTCTAACATATCAATAATTTTGCCCAATCCTGCAATCACTAGCTAGTCTTGTCACCATTATTACCACTCATGCTTTCTGCTTTCTGCTTTCTGTTTTGTTTTTTCGGAAAATTATTATACTTCATATTGTGGGAGATTAGCAACCGTACAATGAATGTCCAATTCAAGCCAGCAAAACAAAGATTGGTGTTTAACTTTTGCTGATGGCCCTATGCATGCAAAAATAAGCATGCAGAATCTGACTTTACATTTTCTCTCTATTGTTATTTTCAATTTGGGAATCTAGGGTTTTTGATTTTCTGATTTTAATTTTAATTTTAATTTCATTTTTTTTAGATCTTAAAAGTAGCTTGGAGTTCAATATCAAATAAGTTTTTAGATCTTAAAATCGTTATTTGAAAAATTATATTTTTAAAAAGAATCATAATTTTTTAGTAGGATACCAAACAGAGCTTAAGGAGTCCATAGACATTTTTTATTTTATTTTTTATGATGTCCTTTTTTTTTGTCAAGATTTTTTTATGATGTCTTAAATATAGCTATATTGATGATAATTTTGTCTTAAATACAACCCTTCAAATATCAATTCTTGCATTTTCTTTTCTATTAGAAAATATATTTATTCCAATCTCCAAAATATAAACAAAGTCCTCTTGGTAAAATGGGCTATAGACCTTGTCAAAACGACAAAAGGAAAAAGGGGGCTATAGTTTATTATTTGTTTCTTTCTCTTAAGGGAACTCCATAGTTTTTCTGAATAAAAAATTATTTCTTGATCGCATAGTTTTGTTTAATAATTTTATACTCCCTACAATTTCACGTGTATGTGAAGTCAAAATGATTAAAGTCAGTACAATAAGTGAGGACAGGAAGAGGAGGAGGGGGTTTGAATGTTCTTTGGTGATCTAACATATGAGATGGTAGAGAGAGTTGATGATGAGAGCATGTCTAATGCAAGGGCAAGGAGCAAGGGGCTGGCTAGGTCCTGTTTTAGCCCATTAAAATGGTACTGTGCATAAAATCTAACTTCCCAAATTTTTTGTGGTTCTAACAGTCGTGAGGAGTTAGGACTGAAACTCAAAACTTTTTATTTTAGTTTATTATTATTTTATTTGTGATAAAAATCAAAGCAACACAAAAATTTATTTTTAGCCATAATTTGGAATAACAATTTTGAGCAAAATGAAAAAAATAAATAAAAATGTTTAGAGTAATTGAGAGATTTTTTAGGTGAGAATGTGATGAATAAAAGGGGTAAAAAAAAAAGTCAGCTAGTTGGGAATTGGAAAAAAAAACAAAACCAAAAAGCTAGAAAAGTCAGCAAATGCGGCGTTCCTTTTTTGGGTTTTTGTTTTTGTTTTTCAAAAACTGACTGTGGGACTCATTTTTGTCCAGGCTAGCAACGGGGCAAAACTAGGTCCTTATCTTGCCTTAGGCCAGATCACTTCAGCTCTGAGAGCCATTAATATATGAACTTCCCAAACCAGAAGTCTTGTTGTGATGTTTCATTTTCTATGTGTGGTGTGATTGAAAACGAGTACTCAGGATTTAATCAGCAATTTAAATTGGTGGACATTTTGGGTCCAATTTTTATAACTAATAAGTCTCATAATGCAGATGAAATTTGTGGATACCATCTTTTCCCAAAGTAGGAAGCAGAGAAACAGAACCAAATGAATCAAGGACTTTATTATATCACTGCATTTTGCAACCAATGTCACATGCACAACCGACTGCAAATAAACAAAAAGTTGAAAAAAACATATACACATGCATAAATCTTTGTTATTTTTTATTTTCCAAATATGCACAAAATTACTCTCGACGTTTACGAATTACATTATTGATAAGAGACGTTACATAAACGAAATGCATTATTTATATATTGATGAGTCTCACACTCTCACATATATGAAAACACATTTATATAGGTATAGATGATAGATTGTAGGTAAGTGTGTTTTTAAGTAATTATCAGTTATGGGAAAGATAAAGTTAGCAATGTAATAGGTGAATATGGTACAAATGATTTTATCATACATGATAATGCTGCAAAAAAATAGTTGTAACAACTTGGAATCCATGGTCCTGAATAGATCAATAACCTAATCAGTAAGTGCGGTATAAATAATTTCATCATGCATTACAAGCCAAGCCAGGAGGTTGAAGGAAGAGCTAGAACTATAAATTAATTCAGCCGAGGAGACTAGAGCTAGCTAGGTGCAATTGTTATACACCAAAAAATGGATTCACAAGCTGAACCTAAACTCGAAATTTTCTTTTTCCCATACATTCTTGGTGGTCGCTTGATCCCCATGATAGATTTAGCCAGACTCTTCGCATCTCATGGAGTGAAGGCCACCATTGTCACAACCCCTCACAATGTCCTCCTCTTTCAAAACCCCATCCTCAGAGACCAAAAATTAGGCTATGATATTGGCTTCCACACTCTAAATTTCCGATCAGAAGAGTTTGGCCTACCAAATGGTTGTGAAAATGAGCTCACAACCACTAATGGTGACATGTTCATCAAGCTCTTCATGGCTGCTATGAAGCTTCAAGACCCACTTGGGAAGCTCCTTTGTGAGACCAGACCAGACTGTCTCGTCTCCGACAGCCTTTATCCTTGGACAGCAGATGTCACTGATGGGCTTGGCATTCCGCGGATTGTGTTCGATGGGAGTGGTTGCTTCTCTCATTGCGTGGAAGAGAGCCTCAGACGCTACGCACCGCATGAGAGAGTTTTATCTGAAACAGAGGCTTTTGTTGTGCCAGGCCTGCCCAACAAGATTGAGCTGAAGAGGTCAATGCTGCCGGATTATGTCAAAGCTGAAAATGGCTTCACTCTGTTCCTCAATGAGGCTCTGGAGGGTGAGATTAAAAGCTATGGGATTGTGGTCAACAGCTTCTATGAGTTGGAACAAGCTTATGCTGATTATTTTCAAAAGGAGATGAAGAGAAAAACATGGCACATAGGGCCAGTCTCATTGCACAACAGAAGCAACATTGACAAAGTTGAAAGAGGTATTAAAACCTCCATTGATGAGCACAGTTGTTTGAATTGGCTTGATTCTAGAGAACCCAACTCTGTTCTTTACATCAGCTTTGGAAGCATGCCAAGGATCACTTCAGCTCAGGTCTTGGAGATTGCTCATGGGCTTGAAGCCTCCAACCACCCTTTCATTTGGGTGATTGGGAGAATTTTAGATTATTCATCCAGAGAGAAGCAACAAGTAGAAAGTGTTCTGCTTCCTGTTGGGTTTGAAGAAAGAGTTACAAAATCAAAAAGAGGGCTCATAATCAGAGGCTGGGCTCCTCAGCTTCTGATTCTAGAACATCCAGCAGTTGGGGCTTATATGAACCATTGCGGATGGAACTCAATCATTGAAGGTGTCACAGCTGGTGTGCCTATGATCACATGGCCTTTCTCCTCTGAGCAATTTTACAATGAGAGATTCATTCTCAATGTCATAAGGGTTGCGATTTCAATGGGAAATGAGCACTGGGTTCCATTGACGGAGCTGCCTAGAGTGACCATCAAGAGTGAGAAAGTAGCCAAAGTTGTGAAAAGACTAATGGGCAGTGAAGAAGCTGAAGTTCTGGGCATGAGAAAGAGAGCAGCAGAGTATAGAGACAAAGCCATGAGAGCTTTTGAAGAAGGTGGCTCTTCTTATGCAAATGTTGATGCTTTCATAGCTGAGCTCAAGTCTCGCCGGAAAATTCAAGATGGTCATCTGTAATTTGGTACGACGTTGTTTCATTGTCATCAATAAATGATTAATTTGGACTGGATTGTAAATTTGTAAGTCTTCATTAACTTCACCAACTCCTTTATTTATTGTACTTCCTCCGTTATTCAAATAAAGAAATGTAGGGCTATTATTAGAGTGAAACGCTTACATGAAACACATCTAGATATCTATGTGTTCTTGTGATAGACGTTGGGGCAATTGAGCATCCTACATTTATATCATACAAGTTTGAAATCATGCTAATATCTTCTTTTTCCCTCATATTGTCATGCATAATAAATTGAATTGTATCTCTCGTTTAGGATAACTTCTCATGACATGAACATACACGACACAAACATGGGAAAACACGGTAGATGAGACCATTTCACACTTACTTGGAAAATGTGTATTCAATTAGGATTGTATATGATTTTGAAAGATTTTTTTTAAGTGACAGATTTCTTGAAATTGTATAACTCCTATAGGTTTTACTCATATTTTTAATAAACTTGTATAGGCTTTTATTATAGATTTTCATACTTTTGTATGAACTTTTGTTATGGATTCATATATCATAGACTTCCAAATACTATTTTCTTTTATCACTCTTTCTTCCCAACACTATTTTCTTTAAACTATCTTGACTTGGCCACTAGTCGACCATCCCTTTTTTTTTCCCTCCAAATTCTTCCTCTACTTGTGTGCACAACAATGAATTTCCCTTTGAAATTTCCATGAGTTGGAAACTTTCATACCTAAACAATGAATTTCCCTTTGAAATTTTCACGAGTTGGAAACTTTCATAACCCAACAATGAATTTCCCTTTGATTTTGTTCACGAACAGTAAACTCTTCGTCCAAAAATTCAATTAAAAAAAAAAACTTTGTCCAAAAAGCAAGGGCCCTATCATCTGGTAGTGTTATGTGTTATAGAAATATATCTCAACCTTCCGCCGCCTTGACGTTGGGTTAACGCCGAGATGATCTCTAGGGGAAGTTATCAGAGATCGAGAAATCTCCAGCTGAGCTTTCCGCCCAGCAACTCCAATTGGTTGATTTGAAGAAATCACTAATGGAGGAGCTTTGCTTAATATAGGATGCTTGTAACCACCCAAGGTCAGTGCATGGCTTAGTGCATTGTTTACCAAATGATGTAAAAATTTCTAACACAAAGAGAAAAAAAAAAAAAACACGTCGTATGAAATCTTTGGGGTGGAGGTTGGATTTATGTTAGCCTTTATTATTTATACCTAAACCCTACAAATTCTCCAAACTCCAACACTTAATTAAATCCTTTCAAATCTACCTCCTTTTGAATACAAGTAAATTTATTTGGACTGTCACGCCCCGGACCCAGGGGTCGATGGAAATCTCGCGCTCGGTGCGTGAGAAAATAAAAAGTAAAAATAAAAAGAAAAGAAGCCGAAACACGGTTTAAAATAAACTTCTCTTATAAAAATAGATCCAAAATCTTACAAATTTACAAGAAATAAATAAAGCTCTATCACTATCATCTAATTCAGCCTTAACCGTTTTAGTCCTTGTCTTGCCCACTAATTCATCTAAAAAATTAAACTGGGTGAGGGATGAGCAACCACCTCTCAGTGAGTAGATTATGTAATATGCCAGTCAAGCAATGCCGTTTTACGCACTCTAGAAAATATCATGAAAAGATATACCAATCCAGATCATATCACATCATCCCTTCATATCTCAGTTATCCTTCATAACATGTAACCAACCACGTGACCCCTATTGGCCTTACTGCCTTATGTCCCTGTGTGGTACATCTATCCCTCGGATACCCCAACATTGAAGTTCTCATGTTCCATGAATAATACATACTTCACAAATATTCCAATTAATATATATAATGTGAAAAGTTGCACCAAATTAAACATGCTTGACTTTGAAATAGAGAGATATTTGTAAATAGAACAAATCCATGATAATTCATGGTTTTCATATTTTATCACAAAATAAGAACTTTTAGAACACATTACATAAACCACTCACTTCGGTAATGAGAGCCCTTAAAATAAATTGGCAAGACAACCTATTTACCTATCTTCATGTACTATCACCCAAACCAAACTCCAAGAGTTTCATCACCACTCTCTCTCATTCTTTCTCTCTTACTCTCTCTCACATTTCTTTCTTGTTTCTTACTCTTATTTCAAATATGAAAGGTCCTATTTATACAAGTATAAGTTGGCAAGCACAAAGATCCTATTGGATAATTGTTTGGCAGTTAAAGGAGATATGCATGGAAACCTTATATAATATAAACTAATATTAATCCTTTCACAAAAGTAAATAGTGACATGAATTTGACGCCAACTCCCATATAAAGCCACCTATTGCCAAACAAAAGATAATTCTAACACCTCATGCTTCTTATATACATATTTAATATAATAAAATACATATAATTATTAAAATGGTAAAACAACTATATATATAATCAATTTAAACATATAACTAAATAGGCAGCAAAATATATATATTTTTAAAAATACGAGTCTTCACATGGACTTTTTCCAAGTCCTAATTGAATACACCCAAACTGTTATAGACTTTTTAAAAATTTGTATAAATCCAAATTGAATACCCCCGGATTTTTAAAATCTTTTTAAACGCTCTAAAATCCTAATTGAATACACCCCCCCTTAATTTGGGAGATAAATGAATATATATCCTACTTTGGATTTATACGCTAACATTGAGAGTTTTTATGTGTGTCAACATTATTAAGGTAGTTTTATTCCTTTTAACTATGTTATTTGAGTGTTATTAGGCACTATTATTATTTGTATAAAAAACTTATGAAAAGAAACTTGTAGCTCCGATGATAGTGAGTATTTCTACCACGCGCAAGTTTAGAGTTCAAATTGCTTCTCTACATTTGACCTCCTTTGTATGTAACCCAAAAGGAGGCAAAATTTCTAATCCTCACGGACAAACCTTCTATCTTTCATAATGAGGCCCCATTGCAATTTTGGGCTTAAGATTGATGCGTGTAAAGTAAAAGAGGCCAAAGTGGCGCTTGAATAGACTATACCTAAATGATCAATTTTCCTTGCTATAAAAAGAAGTATGATTGGCTAACTATAAGTAGCATGAAAGTGAAGGGAGTAATGTTGTCAAAGGCATTACCACACGCACAAACCATCGGTTCTCTCTCCCCCTTCGATTATGATATGTAATGTGTCATGACAAAAGCAATCAAGTTTCATGTGGTCATTGATATATTTTCTGCAAAAGGAAAAAAAAAGAAACAATAGAAAAGAAAAAGAAAAACAATAGAAAAGAAAGTTGAAATATGAGTTCTCGTTATATGATAGGCACAAGTCGTTCTTGTCAACAAAAAGATTTTATTACAGTTGAACATTACTATCGCATTGATGTATTTAATGATGTGATAGATTGCATGTTGAGGGAGTTAAATGACAGATTTCCAGAGCAAACAGTTGAACTTCTTATTCTTAGCTCAGCATTGGATCCTCGTAATTCCTTCAAATCATTCAATATTGGGCATCTATGTAAACTTGCTGAGAAATTTTATCCTGCTGATTTCAGTCCAAGTGACTTAAAATGTTTGGAAATTGAGTTGAGGTATTTTCAAAATGATATGCATCGCCTTCCCTGCTTTAAGGACCTCACCACTCTTCCTCAGTTATATCAATAATTGGTGGAAACAACTTTGGCAGAAAACTACCATTTGCTTTACAGATTGATTCAGTTGGTGTTGACTCTTCCTGTTTCTACAGCAACAACGGAATGAGCTTTTTCATGTATGAAAATTATTAAGAATAGACTTCGAAGCACTATAGCTGATGAATTCCTTGCTGATTGCATGATTCTCCACATTGAAAGAAAGTTTGCTAATAGTATCGATAATGAAGAGATAATTAAAGAATTTAAGATTTCTAAGCCTCGTAGGGTACAATTTTAGATTAAAATAGTTTAGTTTTTGTGTTGCATTGCATTTACTTCTTGTTTTTTTTTTGTTAAGCTTTTATTTATGTATAGATATGCATATTTGAGGATAAGGCTCATTACGTCCCCCCTGGCTAGGTGTATCTTTTTATTTTATCAATAAAATTCACTCGTACCGTCGAATTTTTAAGGTAAGTTTCGCCTACCTGACTTTTGAATCCTGGATCCGCCACTGCATGCACGTATAGGAACAACTTTTACTTTTGGTGGGTTGACAAATGGCAATAGTGGCATTCTGCTTTCTGAAGGAAGTTGAAGTTCCATCCCAAAATCAATTGGTAATAAGGGGAGTAGTCCAACTCGTTATAAGAAATTGTAAAGTTTTCTAATTTTTCAATAAGCTTAATTGCTACAGTGCACCTTGAAACATTGGTCAATTCTCACTTTACTCCCTTAAAGTTAAAGTGACCCACTTTGCCCCCTTGACCAAGGTTTGATGTTCTACAGTGCCTTCTACCATCAATTCTGTTCAAAAGTCTATTAAGTTTGATGACGTGGCAATGGTGTTTTAGTAATTTTGTGCACCTAGATTTTTTATTCACAAATTTGAGTGGAGCCCACATTCACGAGTTAGGGAGAAGGGGAATGGGTATGACGGCTGGGGTTCTGTGGGGTGGGGTAGAAAAGACCATAGGGAGGGGGCGATGGGTCTTGATGGGGAAAAGGGAGAGCATAGAAGAAATCGGGGAAGGTGAAAG